TGGCAGCCCTGCGCTGATTTCTGAGTGCAGAGTGAGGGGCTGTCAAGGGTGGAACCCAGGCATGCAAAGGCCTGGAGGCCAGCGCAGGGGCAGGGCACCTGCCGCCTCGGGACACTGCCGGGGTTCAAAGCCACCTGCCGGTTCCTGCCTGCCTGGCACCGGACCCTGTGGGGGTGGGGTAGCCAGATGGGACAGCCCCTTGTCTCCCTGGAACCTGCACCCTCAGAGGCCCAGGATCCCTGGGGGAAGTTCTAGGGGCTGGGCAGACGGCCCCTGGGGCAGGGCAGGGACAGACGGGCTGATTCTGTCTAGGATGGGGGGGCACACAAAGACTTTCTGAGGGGCACTTCAAGGCCACAGCATTCTATGTGGGACAGGGACATGAGTCAGAGGCGCCCTGTGGAGACCCGCAGGGCCAGCTCCTGGTACTGTGTCTGAGAAGCCAGTTGTTTCCTTGCAGCCCACCAAGGCACCTCACAGTCCTGGCCTGAGTCATTGTGGGGCCCTGGGGGAGGAGGATCCTCTGGGACAAAACTAAGCCTGGACTTTGGGGTAAGAGACCCAGAGCCCTCCGATGCTTGGAGCCTTAAGGCCCAACTTTCAGCCAAACAAAAGCTGGGGGCACAGGCGGGGGATCCCCCTCCGGGGAGGATGCAGAAGCTGAGCCAGGCTTGACTGTAGCTCCTTACCTGATCTGGGTTCCCCCTGTGCAACGGCATGAGCGCCTCACGGCGCAGCTGGTCTCTGTGACACCCCCTGAGACACCCGGGGAATGTTCCCAATGACCACTGCTGACCACGTCATGGATGCCCCTGCCAGGACTCAGGCAAAACCCAGGGGGCCCTGGCACAGCCACCCAACAGCCCTGCAGGGCCCAGTGCCGGACCAGGGCCTTGTCTCCAGCCTCTTCCCCAAGGGGCTTGGGGGTCCTTCCTGCACCCTCCCACCTACTCATCTCTGGACTCAGCCCCAATGTGAATCCTCACCCTGAGCTGAGCCAACTCCTCCAGCCACGTTCTGCAGCTCGAGGAAGGAACTGCCTTTTCCAGCTGGGATCTGCCCGAGCTTCAGCAACAGCCTTCAATTATGCTAAGCGACTGGAGAGTAACACGGCACACAGCACCCAAGAGCCCAGGTGAGACCTGAGTGGGGCTGGGCTATGGGATCTCTGGCTTCAGGACCCTTCTCAGAATGGACCCTCCAGGCCAGTCTCCCCCACCCCTGGTTGCCAAACCGGGTGCAGGAGTCCACAGCCAGGTCAGCTACTTCCCAGGGAGGCGGCCAGGACTGCAGACTCCGCCCAAGCCTGGGGTCAGCCCTCCTGGGAGCAGCACCATTTGCTGCTTGGGATCAGCCAGGCCAACTGGCCAACTCCCCGCAGATGGGAGGACTGTGAGGTGAGCACCAGCGAACCCCTGGAGGTGCCAGAATATGCCAGTGTGGGCACCAGGCGGCTTCCTTGGGTTGGCACATCAGGGGAAGCCCACTGGGTCTGCTCAGCGCCCATGATGGAAGCTCAAGTCCCAGGAGCTGCACCCCAGTGAGGGTCGTTGGCTGGCCGAGGTGGGGGGGGTGTCACTGAGGTCAGGAGTTTGAGACCAGCCTGGCTAACATAGTGAAACCCTGTCTGTACTAAAAATACAAAAATTAGCTGGGTGAGGTGGCAGGCGCCTGTAATCCCAGCTACTCGGGAAGCTGAGGCAGGAGAATTGCATGAATCTGGGAGGTGGAGGTTGCAGTGAGCTGAGATCGTGCCATTGCACTCCAGCATGGGCAAGAGAGTGAGACCCCATTTCAAAAACAGCAAAAAAAGACTGGGATGATAATCATATGCCAAAATGTTCACAGTGATCGTTCTTTGCTGATGAAGAATTATGGTGGCTTTATGTCTTCACATGGGTTTGTATTTTCCACATGACTTTATCAGAAGAAAACGTAGAGGCTGGGCGTGGTGGCTCATGCCTATAATCCCAGCACTTTGGGAAGCTGATGCAGGTGGATCACAAGGTCAGGAGTTCGAGAACAGCCTGGCTAACATGGTGAAACCTCATCTCTATCAAAAACACAAGAATTAGCTGGGCGTGGTGGCAGGTGCTTGTAGTCTCAGCTACTTGGGAGGCTGAGCAAGAGAGTTGCTTGAACCCAGGAGGTGGAGGTTGCAGTGAGCTGAGATCATACCACTGCACTCCAGCCTGGGCAACAAAGTGATACTCTTGTCTCAAAGAAAAAAAGAAAAAAATGTAAGAACTCCAGATAATTCATAGATCAGCTTCATTCTGCCGAAAGTGAGCTGGCATTAATGTGCTATCAAGTATAAAGGCGGCCAGGCGCGGTGGCTCACACCTGAAATCCCAGCACTTTGGGAGGCCAAAGTGGGTGGATCACTTGAAGTCAGGAGTTTGAGACCAGCCTGGCCAACATGGTGAAACCCCGTCTACTAAAAATCCCAAAACTAGCCGGCTGTGGTGGTGGGCACCTGGTCCCAGCTACTCAGGGGGCTAAGGTGGGAGAATCACTTGAACCCTGGAGGCGGAGGTTGCAGTGAGCCAAGATTGTGCCACTGCACTCTAGCCTGGGCAAGAGAGTGCGACTGTATAAAAATATATACTTATTTTATGCAGCCTCATTACAGCCAAACTAATCTAAAAAAAAAAAAATTCATATAAAGCAGTAACTTTCTCTCTCCATTAAAAATGGCAGGATGGAACTCTTGGTCTTGCCTCTGGTAACTCGGAACTTGTGTGGACCGCTCAGCCAGAGGCTACTCCATTTCTCTCACTACCCCCTCTATCCGTATCTGTGTCTCTGTGTCACTGAGTCTCTCTGCCTGTATGTGTGTGTGCATATGGGTCTCACACACACACACACCTGCTCAAGCTCATCTTCAAATGCTCTATCACAAAGGTGGCCCCGCCTCTTGACAAAATTATGACCTTCATAGGCCTCAGTGCCTGCACCAGGCCCGTGCTCCAGAAGGCCTCCAGGCTCGCCACCTCCCCCTCAAACATCTGCCGGGCCTGCATCCAGAACACAGCCATGATGAGCCTTGTCAGCCTTGTTCACTCAGCCAGGGCCTCTGCCCACCGAGCCCTGGATGAAAGCCACCACGTGGAAATCACAAGGACCTTCAGTCACTGATAGCCGGCTGGGAGCTGGCATCCACCCGCAGAGGGCAGGGTGCAGACGGGCCCGTCAGAGAGGAGAGGCTGCAAGGCTGAGCCTGAGCCTGGAGTGGAGGGGTGTGGGGTTTGCGGGTTTGCAGGCTGCTGTGAGACCAGGATGCTCAGGCCATGTGGGAGCGCTGGGAGTGTGGGGAGGTCTGAATGAACCGAGGGTCCGGGGCTGGACCCCCGGGTTACCCACCTTCCTTGCTGCCTCTTAGGGCGGGGCAGCCACAGCAGGGGCATCGGTGGAGCTGACTTGGGCACACACTTCGGGCAGGGAAGAGGAGGGCTGGGTCCATCAGGCCCAGACTCAGGTCCAGGGCCTGTCCTTGGATACTTACTCAGCAGACACTGGGAAGCTAAAAGGCACCACACAACCGGCCCACCCCCAGCACCTCCCGTGGGACTCACCTTCCTATTTCTGAAATATTCCCACAAAGATGCCAATTTTAAGTTAGGTGAACTCTCACCTCATGTATACCATCTACACGTTGGTTAAAAACGCGCATTGATGAACATGGTTTGTGAATACCTAGGCCTATAGAATTGCATGTTTGTTTTGCAACAGGGTCTCGCTCTGTCATCCAAGCTGGAGTGCAGTGGTGTGATCTTGGTTCACTGCAGTTTCTGCCTCCCGGGTTCAAGCAATTCTCCTGCCTCGGCCCCCGAGTAGCTAGGATTACAGGTGTGTGCCAACACATCGCGCTGTGTTTTTATTTTTACTGGAGATGGGGTTTCACCATGTTGGCAGACTGATCTAGAACTCCTGGCCTCAAGTGACATGCCTGCCTCGGCAGGGAACACCCTCTACTTCAAAGTACCCAAGGAAAGCCCAGGCACAGCCTCCCCAGCCTGGCAGCCCCTGCCAGCCTGTACTGAGGATAGGTGTGAGTGTCCGCAGATAGGAGAGCAGCCAGCACACCTCAGCCCTGGTCCCAGGGTGAACCCCACACACACCAGGGAGAGAACTCCTGGGCTTCGGGTTGCTCAGCCCCAGGGGCCCCAGCACCACCTGTTCTCGTGCATGGACTCAGCACCTACTGTGTGCAGGCCCTTCTCAGGGGTGGGAGGGAAGGTGGGGTCTCACCCTACAGAGCTTTCAGGACAGCTGAGGGTTTCCCAGGGCCTGTGGGAAGCCTGAACCAAAAACTGTTTCCCAGGGAGTGATACTCCTCACTTTGAGGGATTTGGGTTCTTAGTCCGCAGAGCAGATGCAGGACAATGTGATCCCATGCCCAGGCTTCATGGCTCTGGGGTTCCTCCTGCCAGCAGTCTCCACCAGGACCCCTGCTGCCCCTCAGAGCACCCCCATCAGAGTATGCAGGGCCTCCTGAGCCCACTCGGGCTGGGAGGGCGCCCAGGCCTGCCTTTTCGCACCTGCCTGCTCTCAAGGCTTAAGGTAACTATCTCCATTTGTGCTAACATTTTCCATACTTTTTTTTTTTTTTAGGCTGGAGTGCAGTGGCACCATCTCAATCTTGACTCACTGCAACCTCTGCCTCCTGGGTTCAAACGATTCTCCTGCCTTACCATGGATCTGATGCCTGTGCTCAGTCCCTCTCTAGGCCTGGTGCTGTGATCAGCACTGTCGTATGTGTGCATGCATCTGAATGTGTGCGGACATCATGAGGTGTGGTCCCTGCTCTTAGGCAGCTTGCCTTGTGGCTGAAATGAACCATCACCTAAATCAAGGGATGGAAACACAAGGCCAGATGCAGTGGCCTTGTCTGGAGTCAAGACAGTGGCTCTGTGACCTGGCTTCACTCCAGAACTACCTGGGGTTTCTAGTTGTGCAAATCCCAGGTCCTACCCAGATTGAGTCCAGTTTTCTATAGGTGGAGCCCAGGAAGGTGTATTTTTAACATGATGGTACTGCCCAGCCCAACCAGTGGTCTCTGTGTATCCAGGAACTGCTGACACAGAGCTTGTGCTCCCCATAAAACAGGAGACAGCCTTCACGGACGGGGGACGTGTGGCTTGGTCATGACAGGGTGTTTTGTACTAGCACAGACTGTGTTCAGGTGACATTAAGGACAAGTTCCTGCAGGCTAGCTGCCTGGACAGGGCTGGGTGGGGGTAGAAGTTAGAGAGGTCACAGAGGGGCTTCCTCCTGGCCGCCTCACCAGCTGCTCGATTTAGGGCTTGGCTCTGGGTCCTCCTGGGCCTGATTCTGAACCACGGGACTGGTGTGGCCTGCAGGCTCCTCCTGCCACAAGCTGTTCATGGTGCAGGGGGAGAACAGTGTCCACAGTTCCCCAGACAGCAGCAGTGGATACCAGGCCCCCAGGAGTTGTTACTGAAGTTGCTGCTGGACAACTCGCCCTTCACTGAGCTCCACATAGCACCCGTGGTGACGGGAGCCGGGTGGAGAGAGTCTGCCAGCCTGCGCATCAGCTCCCAACTGGGAGGGGCAGAGGGAGGAGGGGGTGGGGACCCCAGGCAGCAGGGCTCTGGGAGCAGTGGGGCCCTGGGTTCCAGGGGTGTCTGGCAGGCCCCTCCTTACTCTACCTCTTTTGGCCTCTGGGTGGAGATGCTGGCCACAGTCAGGCTCTGCCTCTGACTAAGGACTGGAGAAGTGGCGGGTGTGGGCTGCTGTCCCGTGCAGCCTCTTGCAGCCTCTGAACAGACCCCAGGGCCTCTGCCAATCATAACTCCTTGCTTTCAGCTGGACGCACAGGCCCTGCAGGACAGAGACTGACAGTGTGCTGTCATCGCCATGAATAGGGTACATGTCTATGAGATTCTCCTGGCACCCACATCCCCCAGAAGGGTAGGGTGGCCTCTGTTCATTTCAAATCAGTCAGAGGTGGCTGAGCCTGAGCCAGCGTCTGACACGGAGCCTGGTTGGAGGAGGGAGGTTCCCCAAAGAGCAGAATCGCCATGCACAGAACCGTCATTCACTGGCTGGGATGCAGTTGCCAGCCAGGCCCTGAGCATCCCTCCTCAAACAAAGGTCTCATGGCACCACCAGTACAGGTGGGGCCTCCACTTGGGGACCTGGGGGGCTGCCTGTGGAAATGGAGACCTCTGATTTGTCTTTAGGTACCCCAGAAAAGTTTAGACCTTAAAAGCAATGACATACCCAAAAAGGCCTGGGCATATATGGTAAAATGTTAACATTTGAGTTTCTTGGGTTTTTCTTATATTACTCTGTCTGTCTTAATTTTTGTTACTAAGAAAGAGAGAGGCACAGTGCACCTATAGTCTCAGCTACTCTGGAGCCAGGAGAATCAGTGGAGCCCAAGAGTTTGAGTATAGCCTGGGCAACATAGCAAGATCTTGTATCTAAAAAAAAAAAAAACCCAAGCAAGCAAGAGAAGCAGCGGGGATTTTAGGAGGTGGTTCTGCAGAAGCCAGTCTTTTACACCATCTTCAACAATCCCGGCTCTTGCTGAAGTAGACGAGGGGATTCCCTGAGGGGCAGCCCTACCTCATGCTGAGACCTCTGCATGCCTTGGGGGTGGAAATATTTGATGACACTCCAAGGGGCCCTTGTGACCTTGGGCTATGAGGGCCAGAAAGATCAGAGGACTGTGCCCTTTCTCCCCACTATAGATTGAAGTAAAGCTCTCGATCAAGTTCAACAGCAGAGAGTTCAGCTTGAAGAGGATGCCGTCCTGTAAACAGGGGTCTTCAGAGTCAAGATTGCTGTGGTCACCAAGTGAGTGGGGACGGGCTTGGGCTCATGCACTGCGGGTGCCTGTCCCTTCAGCTGTTTCTGCAGAGAAGAGCATGTGTGGGTCTCTCCTCTCTCTGTGTGGCCGCTGCGTGGTGAGGTCAGGCCCCAGGGAACACTTGGTGTGTTCAGCTACCTCCTGTGTTTACTCAACACCAGCTCAGGAATGTCCTTGCCGCCTTGCTTGGAAGCAGTAGGGCTGGCTCCAGGAACTGCCTGAGTGCAAGGTTTTCTGTCCTCGCTTGGAATTTGTCACAGTCCCAGGTTCCTGTTGAATGGCCATAACCCCTGCCCCTTTGTCACGAGTCAGTTGCCAAGAGAAGCCTGTTGGGTTTGAGAGCAGTTCTTGCAGACACAGACCACTTCCTCTGAGAATTCATTTGCTTCCCCAGGATGGAATCCGGCTGGGCCTCTGAACTTGCTGGTCATGTGGGCCGGGGCCTCCATCAGTCACACCCTGGATTCCTTTCTGCGTCTAAACAGCACGCTCACCCCCAACTACATGGCAGCCACTTGCGTAGCACTCTGGGAGGGCTCTGGTCATGAGCAGCGAGGACTCCAGCAGCAGCTCCCCCAAAGAAGCACTGCTAATGAGGGTGGCTTGAGAAGCAGCTTGGATGTGCTCCCAAATCCAGTTGCAAAACAGAACTAAAGTTAAGGCCTCAGCACAGCGCTCACTTTGAAGTATTCTTACTCTAGTGTCCTGTGTGGCGGTATTGGAATTGTTCAGTGCTAGGACTCAGAGGAGAAAAGCACTTGGCAGCGCAGGACTTGGAGCACGGGTGCTGAGGCAACCCTTCATTTGTCCGATGTGTGCTAAGGCCCACGCCCAGGGCAGGGGTCAGAGATTCTCCTCTCACACAGCACGCGGGTGGCAGGACCAACACTGGGTCTGATGCCCCAGCTGGGAGCACAGGCTGCTAACCCAAGGCCTGGAATCTGTCAGATGCCCTTTCTGTGCTGACTTTACTTAGGCCTACTGACTTTCCCACAAAGATAATGGGTAGCAACTTGCAGGGGTTCTGGCTGCCTGAAAAGTTCCTGAGAAAGTACATGCAATGAGGACAGGGCTTGCAGAGGGAGCACAGACATGCAAAAGGCTCTGTGTACGGCCCCACACCCGGGTACCTTCGTCACCGTCCTCACCTCACCTCTGGGTGTGCAGATAGGGGGCAGGTCTCCTGTGCTGTGGCCCAAGCAGGGTTGTCAGGACACTGAGAACATTTCCTCAACATTTCCTCCTCCTGCAGGAGAGAGAGGTCCAAGGTGCCCTACATCGTGCGCCAGCGCATGGAGATACAGCGCTGAGGCATGGAAGAGGTGGGAATCTACCGCGTGTCCAGAGTGGCCACGGACATCCAGGCACTGAAGGCAGCCTTCGACGTCAGTGAGTGTCGGCCTGCGCAGGACGGGATGGAGGTGTGGGCGGTGGTTTCCACGATGTGATCTCAGAGTGCTCCATGGCCCGGGCATGTCACATCCTTCGTCTTTTCTTCATTTACTGTTTTATTATTTTTTTAAAAAAGACGAGTTGTAGAGCTTCTACAGAAGCCAGTTTTTACACCATCATACTCACCCATGCCACTTGCTGGGATGAACCAGGGGCTTCTGCAGGGCCTTGGCCTTCCTGCCTTGCGGGTGGACAGGAGGTGGAAGCCCAGGACTCAGTGCGGTCTGTCCACTGCCCTGTGTGAGGATGTGGCGGGCAGAAGGCACTGATGAAATCCAGCTCAGGCTGGGGCTGCAGCATCTCTGCCTCCATCTCACAAACCCTCACAAGCTATGAAGGACCTGGACCTGCCTCAAATGCCAGGGGAGGGCACAGAAGCCCTAGAGGGTCCTTCCCAGCATCTTCAAAGCAACAAGATTTTATGCCTGCAGACCCTTCCTTGGGGCACACACCACTGATCCTGACCAGGACCCCTAAAATGCCCAGCATCCCTGGGGAGGCCCTGTGGTAGTTTCAGCTCTCTCTGGGGTCCCAGAATAGACCTGGCCTGTGGTGAGGACATAAGCACCAGTGACCCATTGGGTCCAAAGGAGGACACCGGTTCAAACACTGAAACCAATCAGATTTTCCCACAGCCTTCCTGCCATCAGAAGACACTGGTGCAGGGGTGGTTGCTAGGTACAGGGCAGAGTCACCCGATTCCCACACAGGCACCGTGTCCTGCCATGCTGGCCTCCTCCTGGCCGTCACATCGGGCCAAGCAGGGGAGAGGAATGGGAATGCCCATGCAGCCCCATCAACTCTGCAGACACAGAACTACGCATAGCTCTTGGGAGGGGTCAGATGAGCTGCTTAAAGCCAGGGAGGGACCCGCACAGTAGTCAGCGTGGCAGGGACGGTGCTTTAGCCAAGGCTGGGATGGTGGGAGACTCGGGATCCTGAAGGAGGCCGCTGCATTTCTATGCTCTTTCCAGATAACAAGGACGTGTCGGTGATGATGAGCGAGATGGACATGAACGCCATCACAGGCACGCTGAAGCTGTACTTCCGTGAGCTGCCCGAGCCCCTCTTCACTGATGAGTTCTACCCCAACTTCCTGGAGGGCTCCGGTGAGCACTGGAGCAGCGGCCGTAATTCCACTGACGGGGGCGGTCTGGTTGGGGCAGGGACCGCTGTTGGTTTGACAGAGACGATGCCCACTGGGGAGAGGCTGTTCTGACTCTGCAGGTGGGACAGGGACAGATGGCCGCCAGGATGACGCAGCTGGTCTTCCTTTGCTGTGCTGAGCCCTGGGACAGGGAGGACTCCCGCCACACACAGCCTGGTCCCGGGTTCTTACCTGTGGCCACCGCTCTGGCACGAGCCCCTCAGTCTCGGGTGGTTTCTGCTTGGTCCGGGACTTGGTGTTGCTGCTGAGTCCAGCCTTTCCACCACCTCCGCATGGGCCGTGGGTGCTGTCAGCCGCCTCCCGCCTTGGCCTCAGTAGTTCCCCCAGCTTACAGGGGAGCTGCCCTGGGCTGGAGATGGGCGTGCAGCCTGGGTCCTACTTGGATGAGTGCAGCTTGAGGAGACCCGGCCACATCCACTGGGCCACAGGTTACCCTCAGCAATGCCCGCATCAGCTGTCAGCCTCAGCCTCCCCAGGAGAGCAAGGCTCACACGACAAAGGCTGCCTGTGGCCAGTGAGGTGGCTGAGCCCAGTCAGAACCTTTCTCGAACTCCGGGGACGTGGCTCTGCTCGTGAGCTGCCTGGTCAGCTCTCTCGGGGTGAGAGGGGCTTGTCACACGGGCCCCTGCCTGCAGTGTGACCCTTCTCAGCTTCTCTCAACAGTCCTGCCTGGGGAGTGTTACCCCCACCATGACCATTTCCCTGACACTGCGAGGTGGGGGGTCGTCCTGGGTAGAGACAGGCCCGTGGCAGTAGCAGGCTCGGGGCACGCTGCACTGGTGGGCTGGGGACCTGGCAGAGACCACACCAAGGGCTGGACAAGGGGATGAGCCTCCAGCCTGGCCTCTCCGCAGGCCTCAGCAGCCCCTCCCACAGGCAGAAGGGTCCACACTGAGTTCTGCCCTCGCTGCAAGAGCTGCGAGTGCCACGTGCTGTTCTGCCCAATCTGGTGTCTGCAGGCGAGGCGAGGGCTGCGCTGGCCTGTTTCTATTTTTAGTATAGATGGGGTTTCTACTAAATAAAGCCACTGCATTATTTAAATATAGCAAGAGGCTGGGCGCGGTGGCTCACACCTGTAATCTTTGAGAGGAGAAGGCAGGCAGACCACCTGAGGTCAAGAGCTGGAGACCAGCCTGGCCAACATGGTAAAACCCTGTCTCTACAAACAAATTGAAAAAATTATCCCTGCATGGTGGCAGGTGCCTGTAGTCCAAGTTACTTGGGAGGCTGAGACATGAGAATCCCTTAAACCCCAGAGGCAGAGGCTGCAGTGAGCTAAGATGGCACCACTGCACACTAGCCTGGGCGACAGAGAGAGACCCTGTCTCTAAATAATAAATGTGGCCGGGCGTGGTGGCTCACGCCTGTAACCCCAGCACTTTGTCAGGCTGAGGTGGGTAGATCACGAGGTCAAGAGTTCGAGACCAGCCTGGCCAACATGGTAAAACTCTGTCTCTACAAAAAATGAAAAAATTGTCCCTGTGTGGTGGCAGGAGCCTGTAGTCCCAGCTACTTGGGAGGCTGAGGTATGAGAATTGCTTGAACCGCGGCGGCAGAGGCTGCAGTGAGCTGAGATGGCGCCACTGCACTCCAGCCTGGGCGACAGAGTTGAGACCGTCTCTAAATAAATAAAAAGATAAATGTGGCCAAGTATGGTGCCTTATACCTGTAATCCCAACACTTTGGGAGGCTGAGGTGGGTGCATTATGAGGTCAGGAGTTCGAGACCAGCCTGGTCAAGACAGAGAAACCCCATTTCTACTAAAAATACAATTAGGTGCGGTGGCCGGCATTTGTAATCCCAGCTACTCAGAACACTTGACGCAGGAGAATTGCTTGAACCTGAGAGGTGGAGGTTGCAGTGAGCAGAGATCGTGCCACTGCACTCTAGCCTGGGTGACGGAGCAAGACTCTGTCTCAAATAAATAAATACGGAGCAAGACTCCATCTCAGATAAATAAATGGACGCCTGTAATCTTAGCACTTTGGGAGGCTAAGACGGGTCGATCACCTGAGGTCAGAAGTTTGAAACCAGCTCCAGCAACATGACAAAACCCCATCTCTACTAAAAATACAAAAATTAGCCAGGTATTGTGATGTGCACCCGTAATCCCAGCTACTTAGGAGGCTGAGGCAGGAGAATTACTTGAACCCAGGTGGTGGAGGTTGCAGTGAGCCCAGATTGCACCACTGAACTTCAGCCTGGGAGACACAACGAGACTCCGTCTCAAAAGAAATCAAGAAATAAAATACAAAATAAAAAAATAAATGTAGTAAGATGGCAGAGTCATGCTGTAGAAGTATGCTGGTCCTATCCATGTAGTGAAGGCTGATTTCATAAACAAATGTCACAAGAACTTTCATACCCACCCCTGAAAGCAAGCCCCAGTTGCCTTCCAAAGAAGCAGTACATGGACTGACGCATGGGCTGTCCCAAACAGCTCTAGAAAGATAAACAGAAAACAGAAAATGACACGCTCAGCCCTTGAGGCCAAAATGCCCTTCCCCAGAGCAGCTGCCAGAAGACAGGGAGCAGGATCGGGTTGGGGGTCACTTCTGGGTGAGGGGGAGAACAGTCAGACCGGGGCAGGGGTGTTGGAGCCTGGTCGGCCTCACTGGAACAGAAGAGAGCTGCTTCGTGATGCTCAGCTGACTGGCAGAGCCTTGCATAACCCAAGTTCTCACGGTACAGAGAGGCCAGCCAGTGCGGGGACAAAGACAGGCACACACTGAAATGTTTTCCTGGAAGACGGGGCCCAGTTGCATCTCTCAAATGGGACCAGATTGGAAGGGAGACCAGCTGCTTTGGGCAACTGAGGCCACTTCTGGGTGAGCTCCCAAACTAGACGGTGTCGAGGGCCCTGGACCTGGCAGCTGGGCTGGACATCACACAGCCCTGTATTCCAGGAAACGGCATCTCAGTGCTTGTCTGGCCAGTTCTCCAGAAGAACCATCCACGGGCCACTTTTCCATTCCCCTCCTATGCACAGACTGGGCCGGGCCTGACCAGAAACTCCCCCTTAGGATTTTCAGTCACTGCCAAAACTTGAGCCCAGCAGTGAGGATGTGATGTTAAAATGTGACTCTGGGCCAGGCGGTGGCTCATCTTTGTCAATTCGGCCAGTGCTTTTGGGAGGCTGAGCTGGGAGGATCAATTGAGGTCAACAGTTTAAGGCCAACCTGAGGAACAGAGATCTCTACAAAGAAATAAAAACAAAAACTAGCCTGCTCTGGTGATGTGCACCTGTAGTCTCAGCTACTCAGAAGGCTGAGGTGGCTTGAGCCCAGGAGTTCAAAGCTGCAGCTCTGATGGTGCCGCTATATTTCAACGCGGAAGACAGAGACCATGTCTTGAAAAAAGGAACAAACTAGGCACAAAAGAAACATACCTGAAAATGGCCGGGCTGGCCCCAGTGCCTCACGCCTGTAATCCCAACACTTTGGGAGGCTGAGGTGGGTGGATCACCTGAGGTCAGGAATTCGAGACCAGTCTGGCCAACATGGTGAAACCCCATCTCTACTAGAAGTACAAAAATTAGCCGGGCGTGGTGGTGGGTGCCTGTAATCCCAGCTATTCGGGAGGCTGAGGCAGGAGAATCACTTGAACCCAAGAGAGGGAGGTAGCAGTGAGCCAAGATCACACCATTGCACTCCAGCCTTGGTGGCAAGAGCCAGATTCCATCTCAAAAAACAAAAATAAAGAAATAACAGCAAAAAAAACCCCCAACATACCTGAAAATAATAAAAGCTGTATATGACAAAACCGTAGCTAACCTACTACAGAATGGGGAAAAGTTGAAAGCATTTTCCTCTGTAAACAGGAACAAGATGAGGATGCCGGTTCTCACCACTCCTATTCGACATCACACAATCAGGCAAGAGAAAACAGTAAAAGGCATCCACACTGGAAAAGAGGACATCAAATTATCCTTGTCTGAAGAAGATGTGATCTTGGATTTAGAAACATATAAAGGCTCCACCAGAAAACTCTTAGACTTCATAAATAAATTAATACAGTCATTTGCAGCATACAGAATCGACGACGATGACAACAATCAGCAGCATTTCTACACACCAATAATGGTCTGGTTGGGAAAGAATTAAGAAGGCAATCCCATTTACAATAGCAACAAAATGGAAAAACGTATGCCACAGAAGAAATTTTACCAAGGAGGTGAAAGATTTCTACAAGGAAAACTACAAAACACTGAGAAAATGTTTAAGAGGAGAGAAAGAAATGGACAATCATTTCATGCTCATGGTAGGAATTCACAGCATTAAAATGACCACACTGCCCTAAGCAGTCTAGAGATTCAATACAACCCCCACCAAAATACCAATGTCACCACTCACAGAATTGGAAAGTCCTGAAATTCATAAAAAAGAATCAAAAAAGAGCTCAAAGACGCAAAGTCATCCTCAGCGAAAACAGCAAACTGGAGGCATTCCATTTCACTGCAAATTACAACTACAAAATGTTTGACAAGTGTGTAGTTACCAAAATAGTATAATCTTAGCATAAAACTAGACACTTAGATCAACGGGACAGATGAGAGAACCCAGAAACACAGCCACATGTTCACAGCCAGTTGATCTTTGACAGAGCCGACAGAAACACACACTGGGGAAAGGACACCCTCTTCAATGAATGGTACTGGGAGGGTTGGATAGCCACATGCAAAAGAATGAACCTGGACCCTTAACTCTCAGCATATACAAAAATCACCTCAAGGTAGATCCAAGACTTGAACATAAGATACAAAACTACAAGAATATTAGAAGGAAACCTAGAGAAAACTCTTCTGGACTTCACTCTAGGCAAGGAATTTACGACGGGCTCAAAAGCCCGATGTGGAGAAGGATGAGCTGGACGATGGCCCATTGGACGTGTGTCCAGCAGAACCCCTGACAGCGCACGAGGGAGCCTTAGAGGCCATGTTCCTCCTTGCTGTGCCCATGTGGGAAGTGGGGTTGCTAGGATCAGAGGCCGGCCCAGACTTGCACATGCAGCCTGCCTTGTTTGCAGTGGCCCTGGGTCCCTGACTTGCAATTGGGGGTGTCTGCTTAAATGATCCCCCAGGGATGTGATGGAAAGTAAAGACAAAAGTGCCACCCAACAGAGTTGCTCCCTGTGCCAGGTCCCGCAGTCACCATGGATGTGCTCAGCCTGTGGGGCCCCCTGGCGTTCAGGCCCCCTCATGCCCCATTGCCATGGGTGGTGCTTGGGGCCTTTCTCTTTACCTGTTTTCTTCTGAGGGAACTCAGAGCTAGGGCTGCCTCTCTACTCCCAAAGCCCGTGGGTGTGGCTGTAGGGCTGGAACTGGCTCCAGAAGTGCTAGGCCTTGGGCTTCTCATGCTGCCCTCCATGCTTACAACTGGAGAGGTGGCAGGAATCAGCAAGGTGACCTGCCTGAGTCCTGGGAGTGGAAACAGGTGGCAGGAAGGGGATCTGAGAAGGAGAACAGGGCCTGGTGGTCTTTGCTTCCCAGACACAGGAGCTGTAGAGGGAGCCTCTGCAGCATTTGCTAGGGGGGCACCGGGCCCCAGGAGTCTTGGGACTTGTGTCTCTCCTGCTGTGCATCCATATTGGGTGCTTTAGAAACAGCAGGCAGACCAGCAGCCCCTGTTGCAAGTGAGGACAAAGCATGGGAGGGCCGTGAGGGTCTGCAGGCCCAGATGGCCTTGGCCTCACCCCACAGTGCACTGTTGATGCACTGGAATGCCGCCTCCTTCTCCAGGTCCAGCTGTTCAGCAGTGACCGAGAACCCCAGTTCTAATGGAGGTGGCAGCATCAGAGGCTCCCCTCGCCTGCGTGGCAGCAGGGGAAACTTGCGTCTATGGGGCCTGGAGGCCTGGGATCTGGGGGAGCCATTCCTGGGGGCGAGTGTCTGCCCTGGTGCTGTATCTCCCACCTTTTCACACTGGGTGTGAAAAGGGACAGCCTGAGGCCTGGCCTGTCTTTCAGGAACTGAGGGTCAGCTGACAGTGGGATGAGGCTGGCCCCCTCCTCCGCTTTAGCCACGGGAAGCCTCCCGTGGAGCTGTAGGAGCTCGAGATGGCATTGCGTTTGGTGCACGAGCTCGTCCAGGAGGTCTGGGATGTCTGCTTATATCTGACTTCTGACCTCTGGGCATGGAGGTCTCTCTGCAGTGGCCCAGGCCTGGGCACAAAGGGAGAGAGGCCTCCATTGTCCCACAGGGGCCGAAATGCAGACCATGCATCCCCGGTGACCATGGGGACCCTTCTCTGATCATCAGGATTCTCTTGGACTCTGGGGTCCTTGTCCTGCTCAGGCATCCCTGCCCCGCTCTCCTTAAGGGCCTTCAACACGATCTTCCCTGGACACGAGTCTGGGGACAGCCGGGTGTTGTGGGCCCCAAAGGGGTGACTCCCTGCCCCTGGGCCCCACAGAGATTCCTTGTGCTCAGTGCAGGGGCTGAGCTGCAGGACGCCCTGGAATTTGGAGCACACAGCACTGGCTTGCTGTGGTACCTGTACAATCAAATTGAAGGCAGGATCACCAGGAAGGAACACAGGGCTTGAAGGATCACGGAAAACCTTCTTGGAGTTGTCTTGACACCACTGATGCCAAGTGTCTGGATACTTGTAGGATGGCCTGCCACTCCGTCCAGGGACAGGAGCAACGGGGAGATCCCACAAGCAAAGTGAACTGGGGGATGGGTTGAACGGGCTCCAGGCAACTGAGCCCTACTGGCAGGTCCTCAGCCGCAGGCCGGGACAGGAATAAGGGGCACAGAGTGCCCAGGTAACCGCTCTTGGGAGCAGCGGGTATGGTTGGATGCTCGAATTCTCCAGAGCTGAGCTCTGAGCGTCCTCATCAAGCTGCCAACTCGGCTAAAGCCTAAGCAAGCAGTTTCTTCTGTTGCTGGGCAATGCACCTTTTCAACCTGAGGGAGTGCGTGCATGTGTAAAGAATAAGTGCGAGTGACAGAGCGACCTGAATGGATTAGCGCGGCAAGGTACTTGTGCAAGGCACCTGCTGGCAATGGCAGGAGGCTGGATGGTTGTGTGTGTGTGTGTAGGGTGCTGGGGAGTAGGGGGCAGCACAATAGATACTGGAAGGAGAGACAAGCACACAAAGGTCACGGGAAAAACAGGCGCCCACAATGGCTGCAGATCCCCCCCGTGGATCACTGAAGGTGTTATACCCAATTCTCCCAGATCTCCAGATCTAATAGGCAGGATGTAAGCCAAGCGCTGTCAACCTCAGCACTACTGAGATTTGGGGATGGCTAATTCTTTAGGGGAGGAGAGTTGTGCGTAGTAGGATGTTTAACACCTAGCCTTTACACACCAGATGTCCAAGTCCATATTACGCAAAATACGCTTTAGTCCCTGTGCGAGTTCTCCTTCAGTTATTTCCTGGAGTCAGGCCTGGCTTGCTGGATTCATTCCTTTGGTGACTCCTTCCACAACAGTCCTCAGAGGCCTCATGGATGGAGGTTGTGCTGAGAGCCAGGGCCTCAGAGATCAATCAAACTTCATTCCTTCCCCCCATGCCCAGGAGTTGCACTCAGGCTCAGGCGCAAGGGGACAAACAGGTACAGACCTTTGTGCTTCAGGGGGCACAAGCTCCCATGGAGGACTGCTAGCTACTGTGATGCCCTTTGGCTCCAATTACGCTCTGGTGCAGAACTTTCTTCCTGCTCTGATTTAAGTAAAGTCACTCCCCTCAGGCAGGGCTTTACATCAGTCTTTTCGGACTGTCACACCCCTTCCTGGGGCAGAAACTCTGTGCTATGGCCTGGGAGCTGTGTGGGTTTGGGTTGCTCCGTCCTTCAGCAAATGACTTCCGTGAATGTTTTCTGTACAGTAAGAGCTGTCCTCTAATCAAAAGAGCCAGGTCTCACTGAAGGACTTGATTTCAAAGCTGAGGGAAAAAAAATACAAGATGAATGCAAAATATCTTGTTATACAGAGGAAAAGAGGTGCTCACTAAAAGATGGAGCAAGCTGAAAGGACACAGGAGCCCATCTGAAGGAGTTCCCAATGACCAGAACTGAAAGCATCCCAGCTAGAAAGTGCGTATTGATAGTATTAAATTAGAAGCCATATAATTAAGTAGTATCAGCAAGTCTATACAGATGTAAGTAACTGAATGAATAAACAAGTGTAGAAGAAGAGACCAGTCATCCTTACAGAAGATTTCCAATGGATAAATGTAGAAAGAATGAGGGAAATAGAGAATCACATTGAAGCAAGAAATACAGGAATCACTGTTGCAGACAAGAATCTTCCGAGGAGGCTAAAATCTCTACGCAGAATTCTAAGATGCAGGACATTGACATAACCTCAACATACTGTCTCCGGAGTATGCTTTACCTATTAAAGTTAACACCAGCCCGGCATGGTGGCTCACACCTGTAATCCTAGCACTTTGGGAGGCCAAAGCGGGTGGTTCACCTAAGGTCAGGAGTTCGAGACCAGCCTGGCCAACATGGTGAAACCCTGTCTCCACTAAAGATGCAAAAAAATTAGTTTGACATGGTGGCGTGCCTGTAATCCCAGCTACTTGGGAGGCTGAGGCAGGAGAATCACTTCAACCTGGGAGGAAGAGGTTGCAGTGTGCAGAGATCACATCACTGCCCTCCGGCCTGGGTGACAGAGCCAGACTCCATCTCCAAAAAAAAAAGAAAGATTAAGTTACCACCACCAAAAAATAACAGTAACTTTTCCATAAGAAAACATGGCAGACACGGCACGAACTTTGTGACCAAGTGAATATCACCCTGCAAACAAGACACAGCAACATCAGGTACCCTCTGATGTGACACGCTGAGGAAAAAACAGCATCACATGTGTGGTATCCTCTCCATTACAAGCAAATTGCCAATTTGATCATGAGAAGACATCAGAGAAACACTAATTCAGAGACACTCAACAAAATACCTCTCCAGTACTCTTCAGAACTGCCAGGGCATGAAAGACAAGAAAACAGTGAGGAACTGGCACAGAATGAGGCATCCAAGGGACACTTGCCAATTAAATGCAGTGTGGAATCCTAGATTGGATCTTGCAACAGAAAAAGGAAAGCGATGGAAAAATTGGTGAAATTCAAGTAAGGTCTGCAGTTTATTTGCTAATCATATATCCGTGCGAATGTCCTGGTTTCCACACTTGTAACTAAGGTGATGCAGGATGTTGACATTAGAAGCTAACAGAAGGACCGCTAGGACTTTTGTGCTTACTTTCTGCAGCTTTTCTGAATTTCTTTCAAAACAGAAAGTTAAATATGAAATGACAGATGGGCAATTGAGAACCATTAATTGACTGAAAAATAACACATGAAAATGCAAATATTCTTTTATGAAAAATAACTATAATATCTGCTTCAGGATAGCATTATAGGAAAAAAGAGAAATAATTATAATCTCCAAAACAAATAAATAAGGGACTGAGTGGCCTTGCTGTACATTTTTGCAAAATGAAGGACAATTGGATTCTCCTGTCTCCTGCATTCAATCTGTCTCAATGTCTTGTTTGATTGAAATATAGAAAGACAACCCAGCCTCGCCCTAGTATGTCTGTGGAAAAGGAAGTTTGGTTTTGATTTCTCTCGGTCAGCTGTACAGGAAGGGGAGTGCTGGGTCCTATGGAAAGCAGGTTCCTCCAAACTTGCCCCGGCCACCACCACAGCTGCCACCTTAGCAGGATCTGGGAGGCCTGTGCAATGCTGTTCTAAGACACTCTCCCCTCCGGGGCTTCCAGTTTGCAGACTAATATGTACAGAGCTTTGAGGTCATCACTCCTGTCCTCACAACAACAAAGCTGAACAAACTAGAAATCCACAACTCTTCTTAGATCCATCAGAGCAGTGAGATCACAGCTGAACCACTGCTCTGTATATTGGAAAGACAGCAGATGCAGAGAATCACAGCTCAGATGAGCAGAGGCCTGTGTTGGAGCCAGTACCTGGGCAGGCAAATTTCAGACGGTAATTGGTGGATTGCGGAGGGCTCCATGAGGACCAGCTTGAGAGGTGAACACTCTGGAGGGAGGGGCTGTGTTATGGGGATCCTCACATTTTCATACGTTTAATCTCCAGGAACACCCCCACTGTAATGTTCCTAGGGTGAAGATAAGAGAAACTTACCTTTGTGCCTCCAGCAGGGGGAGAAAAAGAGCAAGTCTTGAAATATGCCCAGAGTATTCCAGTCTCCTTACTCACTCATAAAAGAGAGCTAAACTGTGAGGATGCAAAGGCATAAGAACTATAAATTGGGTTCCGTGTATACTGCTCAGGAGATGGGTGCACCAAAATCTCACAAATCATGAAAGAACGTACTCATGTAACCAAATAACACCTGCTCCCCCAAAACCCCTGAAAATAAAAAATGTTTTCAAAAAAGTGAAAAATTGCCCTGAAGGACAACTATTTTTGCAGAACATTGCCTCTATCCTTTCAATCTCACCAAAGAGGGGAAAACTGAGAGGCACTTCTGGAGGTCACAGCACAGGGCCTTGGACTCCCTAGACGACTTATCACAGGACTAGAGAACACATTCCCCCCTCCACACCACACCACTCCATCCTCAGGACCCCTGTATATTACAGGGAGTGCAACAGAAGGAACTGCCAGTCTCAGACCTTGTGGTGAAGAACTCTCTAGTGAACCCCCAAAACAATAGGGAAGACGAAAACATGCCCAGGCGCGGTGGCTCACACTTGTAATCCCAGCAATTTGGGAGGCTGAGGTGGGTAGATCACCTGAGGTCAGGAGTTTAAGACCAGCCTGGTCAACATGGTCAAACCCTGTCTCTACTAAAAATACAAAAAATCAGCTGGGTGTAGTGGTGCGTGCCTGTAATCCCAGCTAGTAGCGAGGCTGAGGTGAGACAACCGCCTGAACCTGGGAGGCAGAAGTTGCAGTGAGCTGAGATCATGCCACTGCACTCCAGCTTGGGCGACAGAGACTCCATCTCCAAAAAAAAAAAAAAAAAGACACCAGAATTCATTTTAGCTTCTGACACCTAACAGTGACAATATGAGCACAGCCTAACTCCTCCAGATCCCCATAAAGCCTCACACTAAGAGTCTATTTGGTGAGTTCTTGCATCTAACACCTCACATCCATAAAATTACAAACAATACTAAAAGGCATGTCTCTGCTGTTTTTAGCCACTCAGATTTTTGTAATCGGTTTTGGCAACTCTAGGAAACTAGTAGAAATTCTCACAGTAAATTTTTTTAGTTGCTGTTTTACTTTCAATTCCAGAAATTTTGTTTGGTTCTTTTTTATAATTTACATCTTTGTTTTTATTATTCAGTTAAGCATAATTGTACTACTGCCTTGTAGTTCTTTAAACATAGTGTTCTCATGTGCAAAAAAAGCTCATTATCACTGATAGTTACATAAATGCAAATCAAAACCACAATGAGATACCATCTCACACCAGTCAGAGTGAGAATTATTAAGAAGTCAGGAAACAGAAGATGCTAGCAAGGTTGTAGAGAAAAAAGAATGCTTTTACACTGTTGGTGGGAATGTAAATTAGTTCAACCATTATGGAAGACGGTGTGGCGATTCCTCAAAGATCTAGAAGCACAAATATAATTTGAACCAGCAATCCCATTACTAGGTATATACTCAAAGAAAGAAAAAAACCAAAACAAAACGTAGTTTCCTTTAACTCTTTGAAAATATTTAAAGCAGGTCATATAGTCTTTTCTAGCATATGCAGTGTCTGGACTTCCTCAGGGACAGTGTCTATTCATTGCTTTTTTTCTTGTGTAGCCACCTGTGTTGGGACACCAACACTCCCAGGTTCAGTGGTTCTCTAGGAAGACCCGCTGGACTCAATGTGTAGTCATACACATTGCTATGATTTATCACAGCACAATAGTAAGCAAAATAAACAACAGGAAAAGGTATGCGTAGCAAAGTCCACTTGAAACTAAGCACAAGCGTTCAAGATTCCTGCCCAAACGAATCACACAGACACACATTTCTCCAACAATGACTGTGACAATTATGTATGAAATACTGTCTGCCAGAGAAGCTCATAGAGACTGAGTGTCCAGGGTTTTGAGTGGGGACTGGTGGCTTGGTGTTCTCTTCCTAGCTCACATCAAAATTCCATTATCCCAGAAAGAAAAATCTGTTTGGCACAAGCTACAGTGTTTATTTTTTATTTATTTAGATGAAGTCTTGCTCTGTCACCTAGGCTGGAGTGCCGTGGCACAATCTCAGCTCACTACAACCTCCACCTCCTGGTTTCAAGCAATTCTCCTGCCTTAGCCTCCTGAGTAACTGGGACTACAGACATGCGCCTCCACACCTGGCTAATTTTTGTATTTTTGAGACAGGGTTTTGCCATGTTGGCCAGGCTGGTCTCGAACTCCTGACCTCAGGTGATCTTCCCACCTCATTCTCCCAAAGTGCTGGGATTACAAGTGTGAGCCACCACGTCCAAACTACAGTGTTTTATAAAAGCAGTTTAGGCACACTGAGCCCCTCTTCTCACAGTGTGGTGCACCTTTGCATTTTATAGATACCCAGGAATGTGTCAGAGCATTTCAAACCCCTATGGGCATCTCATTACCCTTTTTAGCCTTCCTTTTTAGCTTTTTAGTTAGTCTATTGTTTGCCCCAGCTGTTATCCACCAGGTCAAGCAGCCACAAAGTTAAACATTTGCCTGTCATTGTATTTTGTTTTCTTAAGACAAGGTATTGCTCTGTTGTCCACGTTGAGTGCACCCAGCAAGATCATAGCTCACTGCAGCCTCAAATTCCTGGACTCATCCTACCTCAGCCTCCTGATTCACTGGAACTGCAGGTGCATGTCCCCACTCTGGCTAATTTTTTTTCTTTTATTTTTATTTTTTTTTTTTTTGAGACAGGACTTCTCTCCTGGCACCCAGGCTGGAATGCAACGGCATGATCTCACTGCAACTTCCACCTCCCAGGTTTAAGTAATTCTCCAGCCTCAGCCTCCCAAGTAGCTAGAACTACAGTGCACACCACTGCACCCGGCTAATTTTATTTTTTGTAGAGATGGCGTTTCACATTGTTGCCCAGGTTGATCTCAAACTCCTGACCTCAAGTAATCCACCTGCCTTGCCCTCCCAAAGTGCTGGGATTACTGGCGCGAGCCACTGCATCCAGCCCCTGTCACTGTTTTTCACAATTGTGCCAGATTGAAAAGCTTTTTGCCTTGGACAAGCTCCAAGGCAGGTCAAATGCAGTCTAGCAAGTCAGGTGTTACAGAGAACCACCAAACACTTCAATTGTGATAATTCCTGGAAATAAAGCTTTGAGGGAGATCCAGCTTTTCTGCTGTTGGGTTGCTGGTGTTCACCGTAAATGTGAACTTTAATTTTCTGGGTTACTGTGGAACTGCAGAGTAGGAGACAGGAGAAAGAAAAATTAAACTGCCACAAAACTCACTGTTGTGAGATTACATACCTTTTTTTTTTTTTCCCCCTACAATGAACATCCTCTGGATTATTACAGGCTTTTAGCTAATTTCCTGAAGTCTAAAAATGTTAATGGGCCAGGCGCACCGGCTTATGCCTGTAATCCAACCACTTTGGGAGGCCAAGGTGGTAGGATTGCTTGAGTCCAAGAGTTCAAAACCAGCTTGGGCAACATAGCAAGACCACCTCTCTACAAAAAATGAGAACTTTAGCCAAGCACGGTGGTGCATACCTGTAGTCCCAGCTATTTAGGAGGCTGAGGTGGAAGGATCACTTAAGTCCAGAAGTTTGAGGTTGCTGTGAGCTATGATTGCATCACAGAACTCCAGCCTGGGCAACAGAGCAAGACCCTTTCTCTTAAAAAAAATGGTAATAGTAAAAAAGTAGTAATGGTGATAACTTTTTGCCAGTTTTCTCATTTTTTTTGTGGAAATAATTTTTGGAGGTCTTTCATCTGCCATTTTCTCCAAAGTCATTCGCCAAATCACATTTAAAAAAAAAATCTAGGGCCATAATGCATGACTAGTTATCTCTGGATGTTTGTAATAGTCACAATTCAGCATAAATTGTATCTCAGATGAGAACTTCTTGCAGTGGTATTCACAGCATTCAGTCAAATATATGAAATTAAACCTAAAAACAGGCCAGACGCAGTGGCCCAGGACTGTAATCCCAGCACTTTGGGATGCTGCAGTGGTAGGATCATTTGAGACCATTAGTTTGAGACCACCCCTGGCAACATAGTGAGAACTCATCTCTACAATTTTTAAAAATATGCCAGGTGCCGGGCGCGGTGGCTCACGCCTGTAATCCCAGCACTTTGGGAGGCTGAGGCGGGCGGATAACAAGGTCGGGAGATCGAGACTACGGTGAAACCCCGTCTCTACTAAAAATACAAAAAATTAGCCGGGCGCAGTTGTGTGCGCCTGTAGTCCCAGCTACTCGGGAGGCTGAGCCAGGAGAATGGCGGGAACCTGGGAGGCGGAGCTTGCAGTGAGCCGAGATCGCGCCACTGCACTCCAGCCTGGGCAACAGAGCGAGACTCCGTCTCAAAAAAAAAAAAAAAAAAATAAATATATATATATATATATATATATATATATATATATGCCACGTGTGGTGTTGCATGCCTGTAGTCCCAGCTATTCAGGAGGCTGAGAAGGGAGGATCACCTGTGTCCAAAAGTTCAAGGCTGCAGTGAGCTATGATCACACCACAGTGCTCCAGCCTGGGAAACAAAGCAAGACTCCATCTCTAAAAATAAAATTTAAAAAAAAATTGTGATCTCTGCTGTAAAAGTAGTATGCTCAAATGCAGTAAAAGCATACAAGAAGGCCAGGTGCGGCGGCTCATGCCTGTAATCCCAGCACTTTGGGAGGCCAAGGCAGGTGGATCACGAGGTCAAGAGATCGAGACCATCCTGGCCAACATGGTGAAACCCCATCTCTAGTAAAAAATAAAAATAAAAATTAGCTGGGCCTGGTGGCACACGCCTGTAGTCTCAGCTATTCAGGAGGCTGAGGCAGGAGAATTGCTTGAACCCAGGAGGCAGAGGTTGCAATGAGCCAAGATTGTGCCACTGCACTCCAGCCTGGTGACAGAGCGAGACTCCGTCAAAAAAACAAAACCAAAAAAAAGCATACAGCGAGTCCCTAGGAATCTGAGTGAATCAGTAAAGGCTTTACAGGGTAGGAAAAGACCATGAGTATGAAAACATGAGTTGGGATTTGGCTTAGATGGTAAAGGAGGAGAGGACAATACAGCCAGGAAGTGCATGTGCACAGCAGAGGGGAGATGGAGGGCACGGCTGTTTAAGCTACCTGTACTTTAATATTCCTGGAGTGTGATGTGTGAGGCAAGCATGGGGTGGTGGGGTGAGTGTTGGAGATGAGGCGGACAGTGAGCCATCAGCATGTTAGTAACAGGGGAATCCACAGGCGTTTCACGCAACTCCAAGGACCCTATGTGAGCTCATCACGCTCCCATTACCCAAATAACATTTCTTACCAGTGGTAGCCGGGATTTCCGTAGGTACACTGGATGTCTTCCCAGGACACCTGGAAGCCAGAAACAAATGGGGTCAAGCAGCCAGCTGACACAAGCACCCACAGAGGACAGGGCGTTACAATGTACCCCTCATCCTCCAGACAAACCCACCTCTAGCAACTCCCAAGAGCCTGGAGCATCAGCAGCAGGACATCATGAGCAATGAAGTCTTTTTAGCGCTTTCATCCCTGTGTTTAAACTTGGTCATGCTTCTCCCAGAGGCCTTACATATTTCTAACTCTCCTTGCTCTCTAGACATTTCCCACAAAGCACGAAGCCGCAGGGCATGAGTCTAAAGCACCAAAAACTTCAAAGTGGAGGGAAGTGAACGAGGTGCAAACCACATGGGGACTTCAGGCCGAAAAAGGCTTGAACCCTCATCAAAGGCCCCACACCGAGACAGCGGGACCACAGTGTGTCTTGATCTCAGACCCCCACGCAGTCCCGGGCCCAGCATGTGCTAGAGGTGGCCAATCCAGGACAGGAGGCAATTGTGGATGATGTTTCTCACCAAGCAAATATTGGAGTCACTGAAGCAGAACCATTTTCCATCCACAGCATTCCGGATATAGACACAGTAATGACCAGAGGCTGCCACTCCCACGTGCGCGATCACAGCGAAAAGCTCATACTGCCCTCCAGGCTGGAAAGAGACAGGCACGAGACAGTTCACCCACCGCCACAAACATGACTGCCTCACACATTTATACCTGCCCACCCTAAACCCGACTCTGGGACTTCAGAATATTAGAAAACAGTCCTGACCCAAGGCCGGTGGGCACCCTCCAGGAGGGGCTTTCCTGAGTGTGGATCCTGAACTGTGAAGGCTCAGCAGCTTGGCAGAGCACAGCACACAGGAGATGGAAGGCAGGTCACGAGAGAGGCCCCCAAAGCCAAGGCAAGATTAGAACTTTCCCCTGGGAGGGGTGGGGGTCATCAGAACAGAGTTCTGTTTCTCCACAAGCCCAGGAATGGCCCTAACCTGAGCCACCACACCCAGCCAAAAGTCTTTTGTAGGCAGAGGGGAGACAGACGGCAAGGGCAGCACACACAAAGCTGGGTCACCCACAGTGGAGGCTGGAATTATCCCTGTTTCCATTTGCAGACTTTGTGCAGGACTTTACAAAATGCAGGGCAATATCTGTATCTAAATATCAGTTTACAAGAAATAAAAAGGTTAGAGGAACACGTTAAATGAAACCAACTAGCCAGTTCTGGCTTATGTAAAAAATCTTCAACCAAATCAACTGCAAGGAAAAGAAAAGGAGCGGAAATCTAAAAGGAACTTAAGAAAGAAACGTAACTAAATGCAAGTTACGAGTCCAGCTGGACAACAAACCGAGACTCCATCTGTGTTGTTTGTGTAGGCGTCGTTTGGATCTAGATTCAAGCAAACCACACAGATTATACAACAGGAAGCCTGAACGTTGGCCAGATATTTGATGCTATTAAGGAATTACAAGATGGAGATGATTATCTTTTGAGTGCTTATTCTTTAGGGACACAATGGAGTATTTACAAATAAAATAGTATGAAGTCTGGTCTGGGATTTGCTTCAGAAAAACCCTGTACAGGGTTGGGTGAAACAGGGTGGGTTATAGACAAAGCAAGACCTGCCATGAGTTTTGGTAACTGTTATAGCCAAGGATTCACTGGCTAATTCCTCACTCCATGCTTTGGTATCTGTTTGTAATATTCCATAACAAAATCTTGTTCGTTGTTATTTTTGTTGTTGTTGCAAAGATGGAGTCTTTGTTGTCCAGCTGGACTCAAACTCCTGGACTCAAGCAATCCTCTTGGACTCCCAAAGAGCTGGGATTACAGGCGTGACCCACTGCACACAGCCAATAAAAGTCTTTTTTGAGAGAAAAACAATTTTAAATATATTTCATCAGGTAAAATGTGTAGGTAGAAATATAAAGAACTAGAAGAAAAAGAGAATCCTATGAAATGTATACTGCCTAAGCAGGTAAAGAAACCATGTTATAATGGGAGCTATTTTAACATATTATCAGGCCTTAATTTTCTAAATGCCATGGTTCTAGAGCATAAATAGTCAAACAGACCAATAAAACAGAAGAGACACTCCAAAAATAGACCTGTACATACGGGAATACAAAATTTGCTATGTAGCATTTCAAATCTATGAAGAAAAGATATTTGTGTCTTTTTTTCCTTAGTATTTCTTGTTTTGTTTTGTTTTTAGAGACAGGGTCTTGTGCTGTCACCCAGGCTGGAGTACAGTGATAGATCACAGCTCACTGCAGCCTCAAACTCCTGGGCTCAAGTGATCCTCCCACCCCAGCCTTTCAAGGTGTGGGATCACAGGCATGAGCCACATTGCCTGGCCTTCTATCATTTTTTTTTTTTCTCAGAATCTCTCAATAAGTTATTATCTCAGGACAAGAAAATTAACCTTTACTCTGATTAAATGTGGTCCAGTCAACTGGCTACTTTATGATTATCCTCAAAGTGGCACAGGCCATTTTGGAAAGAAAGTTTGGTTGGTAGTAAGAACCCAAAATGACATGTTTGCCTTTGCATTTCTATGTATTCCACATGTTATTTCCAAAGAAGCCTACTGAATTCTGGATTCCTTCCCTCAGTACTGTGAGGCATATAAACACAAATCCAATATTTAGAAAGAAGAAAGTATTTTAAGGCTGGGGACAATCTCTGAGGAATGGGTGGCTTCTAGCAGACTCGGGGTGAGGGAAGGGAAAACGGAAAGGATGAGGCATCTGGGGAGGGGCAGGATGGCAAAGAGGTCAGCAGCAACCCACCTGCTCCTCAGTATCACAGGGCTCTCACGCCATCGGAAGGACCTGACTGAAATCCAGGCTCTGGGGGAAGTCCAGGGCGTGGCAGACCTTTCTTGTCTGTGAATTCCTGATGGAGAATCACATGATTGGAACGAGAGAGTCAGAGAATGTCAGGGCTAGTGACGCGTTCTTCCCAAAAAGGGGAGCAGGGTGACATCACGGAGTTTAAGGCTCCTGTTTGCTGGATCTGCTGAGCTCCTCTGACAATAATGCAAAACTTGGCTATTGTACCACCATGCGGTCCCCACACGAGGCACCAGGACCCGGGGAGCCACGGCACCTGCTCCAGGGAGCTAATCTCGCCTCGAGGGAAATGCCCTGCTGGCTGCTCTCAGGCCCTCTTCTCTGGTCCCTCTCGGTGATGCCACTTGAGAAGCCACATCCACGGCTCTAGAAATTAGAACCCCAGTGTCCCAGATACTACTGGCCAGATCCAGATTCCCTTTCTCACCAAAATGGGGTGCCCTCAGGGCCTCTGATGATTCTATCAGGAAATTCACAGGGGGCAACCCTAGGCTAGTGAAGGACAGTTGACCCCTTAACAGCACGGGTTTGGACTGTGTGGGTCCACTTATACACACATTGTTTTAAATAAATACAGTCTGCCCTCCCCCATAGACGCACGAGTTCCAAACGCTCATCAAAAAATATAGTATCCCAGATGCACAACCACACAGATGAGGGACAAACTTTTCCTATACGTGGGTTCTGTAGCACCGACTGGGGGACTTGAGTGTGTGTGGATTTTGGTACACACAGGGGTCCTGGAACCAATCCCCCATGTGCACCGAGGGACAGCTGAGTCTGATCTAGGGAATGAGTACCTGTTTCCCATGGGTCTTCTTCCCACAGTTCTCACAGAAGCACTTGCTTGATAACTCCCTGGGCTGGAAGAAGCAGTGCAGGGCGTCCTCCTGTCCCACCCAAGAGAATAGGGAAAAAAGAAAGTGTCGGTATTTCCCACCTAGAGTACTGTATTCATCTGTTCTCACACTGCTGTGAGACAATAGCTGAGACTGGGTAATTTATAAGAAAAGCAGTTTGATTGGCTCATGGTTCTGCAGGCTGACAGGAAGCACGGCAGCATCTGCTTCTGGGGAGGCTGCAGGAAGCTCCCCATCATAGCAGAAGGCCAAGCAGGACCAGGCATCTTACATGGGAGGAACAGGTGCACAAAAGTAAATGAGCTGGAGTGCAGGGGCGTGCCTCCCAGGTTCAAGTGATTCTCCTGCCTTAGTCTCCTGAGTAGCTAGGACTACAGGCCTTGCCACCACACCCGGCTAATTTTTTGTATTTTTAGTAGAGACAGGGTTTTACCATGTTGAATAGGCTGGTCTTGAATTCCTGACCTCAGGTGATTCACCTGCCTCGGCCTCCCAAAGTGCTGGGGTTACAGGCATGAGCCACCACACTCAGCCTGGCTGCATACTTTTAAACAACCAGATCTCATGAGAACTCACTGTCACAAAGACAGTACCATGGGGGATGGTGCCAAACCATTCACGAGAAACCCTCCCCCAGGATCCAGTCTCCTTCCCACTGGCCCTATCTCCAACACTGGGGATTAAAATTGAACATGAGATTTTTGAACTGTAGCGGGTACAGCCTCCCCACACTTTACAGCTGAGGATTTCAGCTTTTTTTCTGGTTTTCTTCATATCCCCCTTAATGCCTGGCCTGGTGTGGTCCCCTTGGCAGGATCTCAAAGGGCACCTACTGACTGGAGGAAGAAAACAGGAGGGGCTCCTGTTAAGGGAGCAGTATGAGGGAGGTGGAGGTAGGAGGGAAAAACATTTTTGCCAAAATAAAGGAGAAATTGTCCATGAAAATGAAATAAGCCACTTTTCCATAGCCAGAGATAGATCAAAGAGGCAAGGGGGAACTGGCCACACTGTATTATGTGGTGCGATGGTTTGAGGGTTTGTCCTCCCCAAAACCCAGGTTGAAACTGAATCCCCAATGTGGCTAGATGGAAAGGTGAAGCCTTTGAGAAATATTTAGGGAGGACGAGGTTGCTCACGCCTGTAATCCCAGCACTTTGGGAGACTGAGGCGGGTGGATCACCTGAGGCCAGGAGTTTGAGACCAGCCTGGCCAACGTGGTGAAACCCCGACTCTACTAAAAATACAAAAATTATCTGGGTGTGGTGGTGGGCATCTGTAATCCCAGCTACTCGGGAGGCAGGAGAATCGTTTGAACATGGGAGGCACAGATCGTAGTGACCTGAGATTATACCACTGCACTCCAGCCTGAGTGACAGGAAGTCTCCAAAAAAAAAAAAGAGGGGGTCATTGGGTCATTAAGGGCACAGACCTCATGAATGAATTAATCCACTCATGGATTAATGGGTTAGTGGGTTATCCTGGGAGTGGGACTGGTGGCTTCATATGAAGAGGAAGAGAGACTTGAGCTGGCACATTAGCATGCTCAGCCCCCTCACCATGTGATGCCCTGCACTGCCTCGCCTCAGGACTCTCAGAGTCCCCACCAGCAGGCAGGCCCTCACCAGGTGCAGCCCCTCAACCAAGAATTCCCAGCCTCCAGAACTGTAAGAAATAAATTACCTAATCTCAGATATTGACTCATAACAACAGAAAATGGACTAACACATACAGAAGCAGCAAATACCAAGAGAATCCCCTTACCAGTGTCTTCAGGAGCTTTGAAAAGAGAAAGTGGGAGGGTGAGTATGATGCTCTTTATGCTACTCTCCATGGCACAGTCAAGGCAAATCAAGGAGTCCTTCACCTGTATCATATACAGGGCCTGCAGCCTCTCCACCTGCAAGAGGGAGAGCAGAGAGGTGAGATGGGACCACCACCATAAGCCAGGTCAGGCCAATTGCCAGAAGGTGGAGCCAAGAGACAGAAGCTCTAGAAATGGTAGTCACTAATGCTCTTTGTCCTACTCACAAAGGTGCAAAATATTACCAGTAACAATATTATGAAACTGTGGTAAGTGTTTTATGTGGATTAACTCTCTTATTCTTCTACACACTACAGGAACAACAGCTGAGTCAAATGAGCAGCATCTTAAACTTCCGAGTGCTCTGGTTCTAGGTTCTTACCAAGTGTACATCAGTGATCTGGTCCTTAATCAGGTTCCAGAGTTTGAGGTAGAGTTGGGCAGCATCGTGCTGGGACAAACACTGGCCACAGAGAAAAGGAACAGCCAATTAGTGAGGTCTTCAGAGTTGCTTCTCATGTCCTGCTACCTAGACACACAGGAGCACTCATCACTTTGTCTCTTCCTAGCTCCCCAGCCTACCGCAAACCTAAGCTGACACCACATATGAAGTGATCAATGAACAGTAAATTTGGTATTGATTTCTGAGAACACCTCTTAAAACTGAAGCTCCAGTGCCAGCTGCAGTGGTTCATGCCTATAATCCCAAAGCTTCAAGAGGCCAAGGCAGGAGGATCGCTTGAACTCAGGAGTTTGAGACCAGCCTGGGCAACATAGCAAGTCTCTGTCTCTATAAAAAATTTAAAAATCAGTTGAGTGTGGTGGCACACACCTGTAGTCAGAGCTACTTGGGAAGCTGAGGCAGGAGGATCACTTGAGCCCAGGATGTTGAGGCTACAGTGAGCTGTGATGTTACCACTGCACTCAGCCTGGGGAATGAGATGTCCACAGGGACTTTGAAAAGCACTGATACATTCCTGAGGATCTGGAAGGCCATGCGCATGCCCATGTAAGACCTGAGAGGGCTCTGATCTCTCCCCTCTGACTGACCACAAGGCCATATGCAAGAAAGCAATGAAGGCAAATACAGAATCGCAAACTGCCTGCGCTTTGAAGGTGTGCCCTAACAGACACACACAGCCCCTCAGCAAATACTGGAAAACTCACTGGCTTAGGCATTTAAGGAAATCTCTGACTACTTACTATCTGACCACTAAAGTAACCAAACGGAGAAGTCAGTGGCCACACACTACAGGGAAGATAGATGTCACAGAATTAGTTCAGGAAAGTTTTTTTTTTTTTTTTTTGGGGGGGAGGGGGAACGGAGTCTCCCTGTGTCGCCCAGGCTGGAGTGCAGTGGCATGATCTTGGCTCACTGCAAGCTCCGCCTCCCAGGTTCCCGCCATTCTCCTGCCTCAGCCTCCCAAGTAGCTGGGACTACAGGCGCCCGCCACCACGCCCGGCTAATTTTTTGTATTTTTAGTAAAGACGGGGTTACACCGTGTTAGCCAGGGTGGTCTCGATCTCCTGACCTCGTGATCCACCCGCCTGGGCCTCCGAAAGTGCTGGGATTACAGGCGTGAGCCACTGCGCCCGGCCTTAGTTCAGGAAAGTTGTCACTGAACAATGATCAACAACAAGGACAATAACAATAAAACAGCAACAACAACAAACGCTGGTATGGGGGTTTCTGATGTCCAGTGTTTCCACATTATATTATCTAAAATGTTCTTTCTCCAACAAAAAATACAGGACATAATGAAACAGAAAAGTATGGCCACACATAGGAAAACAGCAATCAGAAGAACTTTTCACTGAGAAACGCTAGATGTTGGCCTTACTAAACAGACACTTTAACTGTTATATGTTCAAAGAACTAAGAAAACCATCCATGTCAAAAGAAGTAAAAGTATGAAAATGCTGCCTCACTGAATAAAGAGTACCAATAAAGCAAAAACTATAAAAAAAAGAACCAAGCAGAAATTCTTGAGTTGAGAAGTACAATAACTAAAATGAATTTATTTATTTATTTATTTATTTATTTGATGGAGTCTTGCTCTGTCGCCCAGGCTGGAGTGCAGTGCAGTGGCGCAATCTTGGCTCACTGCAACCTCCGCCTCCTGGGTTCAAGCAATTCTCTGCCTCAGCCTCCCGAGTAGCTGGGATTACAGGCACCCGCCACCAGGTCCAGCTAATTTTTTGTATTTTTAGTACAGATGGGGTTTCACCATGTTGGCCAGGCTGGTCTTGAACTCCTGACCTCATGCTCCACCCACCTTGACCTCCCAAAGCGCTGGGATTACAGGCGTGAGCCACCGTGCCTGGCCTGAAATGAAAAATTTACTAGCGGAGGTCAACAGCAGATTAGAGCTGGCAAAAGAAAAATCCATAAACTTAGAGACAGGTTGACTGAGGTTCTCCAGACTGAGGACGGAAGGAAGATGGAACATAGTGCCCATGCAGCTGAAAAGCTGGTTAGCTGCTCACTGCATACAGAGTTCTACTAACTCTGACACCAAAGAAATCTGATACAAAAGAAGGTTTTATACAAAAATGTGAATTTATTCTGAAGCCAGCTTGGGGGAAGGAGTATGACGCATCCTGCCTTTTAATGTGCCATTTCTCCTTTGCAGGAGAAAGGGACATTTTCATAAGGTGTGTTGCGGGGGTGGGGGGAGTGAGCAATGGCGGTTATCTACCAGGCAGCTGTACCGAGTTATGCACTGGGCAGCTGAGTTGGCACCTGCCTGGGCAGAAGTAAGTTGTAAAGGTGGCCAAGGGGATATGCCTTCTCCATGCCTTCCTAGTGGGTGAAAGGCAAACCCCTGGAGTGTGGAAGTTTTGAGGCCACCCCCTGGCAGGGAGAGTTCCCTAGTGGGTACACTTTGGGCTGCAAATCTACTGCTAAGTCTCAGGAAAGATCAGCTGGAAGAACTTGCCCTGTTCTCAACCAAACCTCCTTCAACCTATCTCCAAGTTTACAGATTCTTTCTTTACCCCTGCAGGGAATGTCTGGTGAGGGGGAGGTGAGAGGTGATACTTGCTTTTCTAAAGGACCAAACGCAGGGGAGGGAAGAGGGGAAGTGAAAAGAAAATAACAGTAAGAAAAGTAATGAAACTAACTATCTCTTAGAGAATGGGAGTACTCAGTTACACCCAGATGGGTTCACTAGTGAACAATGGGTTCTACCAAACATTTATGGGAAAAATTATACCAATTCCCTACAATCTCTTCCAAAAGACAAAAGCAGAGAGAACACTTCCTAACTCATTCTCTGAGGCCAGCATTATCCTAATACCAAAACCAGACAGACATAAGAAAAAAACCTAGAAACCAGTATCTCTCATGAACATAAATGCAAAATTCCTCAACAAAATATTAGTGAATCATTAACTATGTATAAAAAGAATCACAGAGGGTGACATAAGCGAGATGGTTAGAGAAGGAGGCTCCTGGGGCTCCCTTTTCCCGTGGACACACAGAAAAACTCCCATCTACACACAAATCAACTCCCTCAGAAAGAAACCCAGAAACTAGCACATGGGGCAATGGAGAAAACATCCATATCGCGATGGGTTGGAAAAGCTGAGACACACTCGCACCACAAGCCCCACCGTAGGCACAATACCTTACTGTGGGGAAGGAATCCCTGTGCCCAGCTTTCTCCTGGAGAGGCGAGGGTTTGGACCACACATAGGCAGCCCTAGCTTTTGCAGTTCCCACTCAAGGGCTTGGCTGCTAGCTCACCTAGCTCTGGCAGCAGACATGGGTCAGCAGCTATGAATCCTCTGCGACCACAGAGGGCAAAGAGGCAGTTTTAAATGGGCACGTGAGCTCTTCCAGCAGCTGTGCCCCTGTGCTCAGCACAAACAGGCAGAAATGCCAGGCTCCCAGTTTCTCCCTGGAAGGGTATGTCTGCGGGCTGTCCGACCTATTGCCCAAGGGATGGGCTTCTAGTAATAACCAGCCTGCACCTGGAGCCAATGGGCAGGTAAACAATAGATTTCCAGGAGTCTGGACAGGTGTGTGGGCAAGTCCCATGCCTTCTCCCACCCCCTGCTCCATGATAAAATCAGGTCTCTAACTTCACACATTGAGTACACAACGCTTACCCCTCTCAAACGAAGGACTAGCTCCTCCATCACCAAGCTTTGGGAGTTGACAAGGCTCTGTATTTCTGAGTCCCACAGGGGCACAGAGACCAAAAAACATCGCCCCAGGCCCAGTGCAGGGTGAAAAGGCAAAAAGGCCTGACTCCCACTGTCTCCCTAGAAGGAGTTTGTCTGCACATGTGCAGCTGCTGCCCTGGGGTTTCCATGCATCTGGGAGCTGACAGAGCAGGACACCAGTGCTCCTGAGACCCTGAACAGGCAGGTGAGCACTTCCACAGCAGCTCCCACTGGTTTGCTCAACAGATAGCATCAAGCTTCCAACCTGTCTATCTCTAAGCAGAGAGGAGTCAGCATTTGCTAGGCCCCTGGGGGTGACAAAGAGCAAAACAATGCATTGAAGGAGTGTGCAGTTTAAAAATGAGTGCAGGCACTTGCCACAGATCCTCTGTCTGGCTTTTTGCAGAGCAAGTGGGGGATAAACTCATGCTCCCAGCTTTTCCTTCAGGATAGAATAAACTGGAACACACACTTAATGCCCCAACGTCTCCAGCTGCATCTGAAGGGGCTGGCTTCTATCTCCCCTGTCTGGGGCACTGACAGGACTTGACACATTCTAATCTCCTGAGGGCCGCTAAGAACATAAATGAATTTGGACAAGTACAAAGGGTCAAGAGGTGCTCTGAGTCTTTGGCAGGGCTAATTGATAAGTTCATCTCCTCTACAAGGTCAGTGGGACAAGACTGACCTCAGGTGATCTGCCCATCTCGGCCTCCCAAAGTGCTGGGATTACAGATGTGAGCCACCGTGCCCCGCCTGACCCTGTCTCTTAAAAAAAAAAAAAATTCAAAAGACCAACAAAACAAAAAGTTGTTTTTTTGAAAAGATAAACAAAATTGAACAATCTTTAGCTAAACTAAGAGGAAAAAAGACTCAAATAAGTAAAATCAGAGGAAAAAAAGAGACATTACAAATGATACCACCTGAGTTCGAGAGTTCGAGACCAGCCTGACCAACATGGAGAAACCTCCATCTCTACTAAAAATACAAAATTAGCCAGGTGTGGTGGCACATGCCTGTAATCCCAGCTACCTGGGAGGCTGAGGCAGGAGAATCGCTTGAACCCAGGAGGCAGAGCCACTGCACTCCAGCCTGGGCAACAAAAGTGAAACTCCATAAAAAAAAATAATAAATAGAAGAAAAAGAAAAAATAAAAATAAAAGAAGATGCAAATCAATTAAAAAGTTATCCTATGCCCATGGATTAGAAGAATAAATATTGTTATAATGACCATACAGCCAAAGCAGTTATAGATTCAATGCAATTTCTATATATATATATATATAAAACAACCAATGACATTCTTCACAGAAATAGAAAAACAAAAATCCTAAAACTCATATGGCACCACAAAAGACCCTGAATAAACAAAGCAATCCTAGACAGACAGAACAAGCTGGAGGCATCACACCACCAGATTTCAAAATGTATTGCAAAGCCACAGTAACCAAAACAGCATGGTAATGGCATGAAGACAGACACACAAAGAAATGGAACAGAATAGAGAACCCAGAAGTGAATTCACACACTTAACAGTCAACTCATTTTCAACATAATGCTAAGAACACACACTGAGGAAAG